GCATCTGATTTATAAATCAGCTAAGAAAGCATGATAGTTTTCTCATATTCTTTTTGTGAGACACAACAACTTTTGTAGAATCAGCAAGACAACATGGTTTGAAACATCAATCACCTTACTTGGATAGTATTCATAATTGTTAATTTGTTCTTTTTCTTTTTTTACATTATTGCATATTTTAGCTTTGGACTTAATTCAAAGTTGAATTAATCTTGACATTATTTTTTTTTAGCACCACAATCTGATTTTGCTACGGGCGGATTTCAGCGGTGCATCAATTTTTAAAGCTGATCATTTAGTTTGCATTAATAACAGTATATCAAAATTTAATGTACCCCCCCCTTACTGCTAAACATGGATGCTCATTGCCTTTGAACGAGAGACTGTTCTTATCAACCTTCTTTGGAAAATAAACATCTTTTTGATTTGACATATAGTAGCTGTGACTGTTCTGCTTGGATGCACACAAGTGTATCCGGAATCCGTACATCTTTCTCCGGGTGACAGATGCAAGCCTAGCAAGAATGTTGTCTAAATATTTATGCAGATGCAGTGATGTGTCACTGGTAGAAAAAGGAAAATCTCTTGTTTCACAATCATTAGCGTTGGCGTTGAGCATTTTTGGGGCGGAGCTGAGCTGTTTGGGTTATTGATGGCTGCTTCTAAGTCAGTTCATGCTCTACGATGTCCCACTGACTCTAGTGAAGCTCCTGTCTGAACAAAACTAGGTAGCATGGAGACGCTGGGTGCATCAGGCCGCGATGCTTTCGTCACGGAGCAGAATATCCGTGCAAACACTTGGTTTGTGGTCAGATGGATATAAATAAAAATAAGGCATCTCTCCTGGAATAATCCCTTCCCCTTTGAATGCCAAGCGTTTGCAAGATGCAAACGGTACTTCTTCTTCGTTCAGCTGTTGCCAGAAGCCTCTCTGCCCTTGATGCTCGGAGGTGCTGGCGGGTGTGTGTGTGTGTGTGTGTGTGATGGAAAAGGTATTATAATGTGAACAGAAGTAGTCTCGGGGCCTACAGCTGGCTAATAACAAAGTTGCATTGAGCGCAAGTGAGACCCACAGCTGTGACTTTCGCCACAAGGCTCAGACTAGACAGCAGCAGACAGGATCGGCCGAGCCAGTCAGCCAGCGAGCTTTAGGTCTTTATTGGCCAGATGGTGTGAATTTAGACACTTTTGTTATGCAATGCCAGGGAGGAGTTGAGGAGAAGAAAACAAAACAAAGGCCACCATGCTGGGGGCTTATTTCGGTTTGAAATTAGAGACAGGTTTTTTTTTTTTTTTTAGTTGAAAGCTGAATTTTAAAACCTTTTTTTTTCCCCCTTCCGGAAGGGGAAGAGAAAAGATATAAAACTTTCTTTGAGCAACGGAGATTTCTGGGACATCCTGGTCCTTCACATTATACTTCGTGCTGTCCTGGGCACGTGTATAATAGCCTGCTGTTCAAACGCAATATTCCACCATGGCCCCAAAACTCAGGGATTTATTATGTTTGTTTTAATAAAGCAAAGGCTGACATGAGGTTCATCATCCAGATAGAGACTGATCGAGTGAAGGTGTCTGTTAAATTGTCATCTGGAATCGGGATCATCTTCTCCAATGCCTGCAACTTGCAGCAGCAAAGCTTAGAAATGAAGAAAGAGAGCCAGCTTTGTGTTGGCTGGAGTCATATATTTGCAAACGCATGGATTTGTATCAACCGTGGTTTACTAAGCCTGAACAGACTAGAATTATGTAATACTTAGCCACAACTTGTGTTTTCCAAAGAACAGATCACACCTTAGAGGTAGCAGTGGTTTGCTTAGCCGTGTCCCATAATGGGCCAGTCAACATAGCACAATAAACCTAAGATAAGCAAACTATATTATGCCTTAGCTCAGGGGTAAGCAACCTTGGCTCTTTTATGACTCGTGGACTTCAACTCCCAGAATTCCTGAGCCAGCCATGCTGGCTCAGGAATTCTGGGAGTTAAAGTCCACGAGTCATAAAAGAGCCAGGGTTGCCTACCCCTGCCTTAGCTCAATGCGTGAAGTTTATCAGAAGCTTAGAAAGCTGTATGAATTCATGCTATTTCATTGCTAAGAGTAGCTGGCTAAGAGTCTGTAGAATTTCACGATGGTTTTTTTTGCAATCTTTCTTGCATTGCCAGAATTGAAGCCTGACATGCAAAGCATAATTTATATCCCTATAAGAGGAGACATCATGTACATCACGAAGCCCAGACACAGATGATATGAGGCTCACAACTGTATGAGAAGATGGGCAGTCAAAACAGGAAATGAATGAATGAATTAATCCATTAATTAAAAAGTTGTTCTCCATGCAAGATGGCCAAGCTACGTCAATGCAAGGCTTGAACTGGGCAAGGATTAAGAAAAAAACTAATATGAGACTCATCTATACTCTTTCCTGATCCCTGACAGAATACAAGTTTCACTGAATAAAACCAACCCATGGAAATCAAATTTATCTATCTATCTATCTATCTATCTATCTATCTATCTATCTATCTATCTATCTATCTATCTATCTATCATCTATCTATCTATCTATCTATCTATCTATCTATCTATCTATCTATCTATCTATCTATCTATCTATCTATCATCTGTCTGTCTGTCTGTCTGTCTATCTATCTGTCTGTCTATCTATCTATTTATCTATTTATCACATTTTTTGACTGCCCACCTTCCTCAGAGAGTTGTGAGCCACATGTGATCTGTGCCTGGGCTTCGTGGTACAGGACGTCTCCTCATATAGGGACATAAACTATGCTTTGCATGCTAATGCTTCAATCCCTGGCAGTGCAGGGTTTGTGTATCCAGCCACTGTGATTTTGTAAGCCATGGTTTGTAACTTAGTCTCCCTTATTCAAGTTGGCTTTCGTAATCTAGAGCCATAAGACAGTGGAATAGGCTTAGGCTGACCATCACTCATTATGTCCAAGCAGAAGGTTGAACCGTCCCATAGGCCATCTGGTGAACATTGTTCCCATTATAATATTGAATACTGTAAATTATAGTAATTATTTATACATGCACATATTTAATGATAGCTGGGATCCCCAACCCTTTCTGATTGTTAGACCCCATTTGGAATATGGCAAACCTGTTTTAAATCTTCCAACAAAGAGTTTGCTTGTCAGCACTATCAGACCCGGCCAGAAAATCAGAGTTATGATTGTTAATACCACTTTTATTGTAAGGTTACAGTAACAGAAATTTATAAGTCTGAATATGCTTCCCCCCCCACCTATATCTTTATGATAACCAGGAAAGGTCCAGTCTGCTTCTTAAATTACATTTCTGCCCCAGACTCAGATTTTTTTTCTCGGACTATTGTTTTGTTGTGGCTTTTCCTCCTGTTCCTTGAGGTTATTCCTATTGCCAGTTACATTTCTGGAAGGATTGCCCATTCATAAAACAGCTGATCTGAGAGCTATAACAAATCACATGCCCTCAATTTCCCAAAATGCCACCTCTTGGCAATGCTCCTTTCAAGGGGCTGTCTCCCCCCCCCCGTCCTGTTTCTGGTCACGTAAACTAATGAGTTGCAATAACTGCCCTTTAAATTTTTAAGAAGGATTAGTGGGGATACTAAGGATTCAGTGGCATTCTTTTTTTTTTTTTAGAAAAGAAAAATTAAAAATTCAGCTGTGGTAGGAGTTGGCATGCACTAAGAGGTCTCTGTATTCCCAGACTTAGAGGTTGCATTCACTGATACCTTATGTTGGGTAGCTTTAACTTTTCTTTCAGCCTCACTGTATCACATGAACCCAATTAGTGTGGTTAATTCATAATTTACTGCATGGTTCAAACTCAGAATATAGTAGCATATGAACATGTAAACGCTTGGCATTTATTCATGTATTTAATGCCTACTTTCTTGGGGTTTGCGTGCAAATGCCTAGGTTAAATACTACTTCTTTAGCAATATACTTTTATCAGTAAAAAAAATCTTATTAACATGAACCACCCAATGCCCTTGAACAATGGTGGGATTCAAATACCTGAACATCCGGTTCTCTGCGTGGATGCAGGCCTGGGCTTCTGAGGCCTAGAATTGACTTCCAGAAGTGGCATCCATGCACTTCCTGTGGGCTGTTCTAGGCCTGGGAGGCCTCTTCCAGGCCTCCGAGGCCTAAAACAGACTTCCCGAAGTGACATCCACACACTTCCGGTGGGCCGTTCTAGGCCTGGGAGTCCTCCTCCAGGCCTCCGAGGCCTAGAACGGACTTCCAGAAGCAGCATGGGTTCAGCCGGTTCTCTGAACTCAACACAATTTAGCTACCGGTTCTACCGAACCTGTGGGAACCGGCTGAATCCCACCACTGCCCTTAAATTAAGGTAAGTGAGTATAAAACCTAAAAACAATTACAGGTAAGTCCTTGACTTACAGCAGTTCCTTTAGTGCAGGGGTAGGCAACCTTGGCTCTTTTATGACTCGTGGACTTCAACTCCCAGAATTCCTGAGCCAGCCATGCTGAGGGGAAAGGGAGAGGTTTCCAAGCTGAGCCATGCTGGCTCAGGAATTCTGGGAGTTGAAGTCCACGAGTCATAAAAGAGCCAAGGTTGTCTACCCCTGCTTTAGTGACTGTTCAAAGTTACAATAGCACTGAAAAAATTGACTTATGACCATTTTTCACACCTATGACCGTTGCAGCGTCTCCATGGTGATCAAAATTCAGATGCTTGGCAACTGGTTCGTATTTATGATGGTTGCGGTGTCCTGGGATCACGGGATCACTTTTTCTGATCTTCTGACAAGCAAAGTCAATGGGGAAGCCAGATTTCACTTCACAACCAGGTTACTAACGTAACCACTGCAGTGTGGCAAGAAAGGTCATAAAATGGGGCAAAATTCACTTAACAACTTAGCAACAGAAATTTGGGACTCAATTGAGGTCGTGTGTTGAGAACTACCTGTATGCAGCACTGTATGTTACACTTAACTGAATTCTTTTCCTTTTATGCTTGTTTCCTTCTCAGTCGTTGCTGTGAAAAGAAGAGCTGTGGAAACCGTAACGAGACTCCCTCGGATCCCGTGATCATTGATAGGTAGGATACATAATTTCTATCTTTTATGTTTTTTTAAAAAAGCCATTGAGAAGTGCAACTTGTTCTATTCCTTGCAGCTGGATGAGCTGAACTATCTTGATACTGTATGTAAAATATTATTCATGCCAGTGCAATGCCATATTTTTGCAAAGTGTTCTCAAAATAGCTGGACTTTCTTTACAGGAATGTCTGCATATTATTGCTGAAGTTGCTATTGGTCTTGTTGTTATATAAGATTCCCCGGTTGCCTATTTAAGCTTGCCAAAATGTTCCTTTCAAAAGGATACTTCCAAAAGTATCACAAATGTTCTCCATTAAATGAAAGGTGACATCCAGAGAAAATTGTCTATCAGAGTAGTCCTGATGTTTCGTGCGTGATCTACTGTTGAAGAATGAAGTTGCAGACATGTTCTTGTGGAAAACTTGTTAGCCAAGTTTGAAATCCTCCCTTCTTAGACCTATAATAGATGTTTGCACAAACTGTTGCGTGTTCACATTTGTTGGTACTCAAAACCAGAGCAACTTTTTTGTACAGGGAAAAATGATTTGTGCAATACTAGGATAGAAACAGATAATGCTTTGCATGTTTTGCTCTTACTTGGTAGGTAAGAAAAATCTAAAATTACTGAAGCCCCGAATTGTGTGTGTAGTTTTGCTTGAATGCACACTAAGGATGTGGAAGAACTCTACTATGGGTTTTAGAATGAAACAGTGTGATCCATCAACTCTTACAGCACAGGCAGAGTAAATGCATGTGAATTGTTGGTGTCTGTAATTCTCTTTTCAAAAGCTTCGTAGAAAATGGTATATACTTAGAGGAGATGTCTATAAATGATTTGGAGAAAATTTCCCTCTGAAATTTCATCCATGATTAAAAGCAGCATACAAAAGAAAACAACTGCCCATATTTTTGTATAAACCATGCATTTGTTTTCCAGAGGGCAGGAAAGTTTATCATTAGCTGGAGAACTGATAGAGAGCCCCAGAACCTCAGTCTAAACTGAGATTTGATTTCTTTCTGCTTTTTCATATGTTCATTTGTGAGTTTCCTTCCTTCTATTTTCATACTTGTTTGAAACCCGCCCGAAAAAAAAGTTTGCACATATCTTAGTGCATATTTCATCTAGCATGAGGATTTTTGTATTTGCAGTTTTGTTTACCATTCACAGTTTTTCAAATAATTACTGAATATATTCTATTTGTAGACTTGTTCATGAATATGAATTGGCTTTTCTGAAAGATTCATTCTCATAATACTGTGGGAGAAATTTAGATTGCCTAAGATTGTCAAATTGCATGATATTAAACTATAAGTCCTGTTCAGCTCACAGTTTGGGCCAGATGTGTTAGAATCACATACAACTGCTGGATTATGAGTCTTGGAGGGTGCTTTAGATAACCCTAAGCGTATTTATTTATTCATCAAATTTATATGGCCGCCCATCTTATGAAAAAGTAGTTCTGGGTGGCCTACAATAAGACTATAAAATAGTTAATCTATTAAAAAATAGTTTTTTAAAAATTAAAAGGTTAAGAGAGGACAGTAGATTTTAACAATTCTCACTATTCTTTTATAAATAATGAAATATCATCGCTGTGATGGGGAAAAAGCAATCAAGACTTGCCTGCTAATTACCAGCTTATCAACTTCTTAAGCATAATAAGTCAGCTTTATGCCAAGCACTTATATAATACATTGTCCAATTGGGTCAGTTCAGGGTATATTCGGCAAATTGGCAGGCAGGTTTTAGAGTTAGACACTCTGCCTTAGATCACATCCTTATACTTCAACATCAGACTACAATATTTATGTGAGCCTGTGTTATGTGCCACATTCATCAACTTCAGGGCTAGACTTGATCTCATTTCCAGGACCAAGTCATGGGTAAATTCATGCAGGCTACAAAAAGACAGATAGCTACTCCTGTAAATGTTCAAACACCATGAGAGCTCCAGAATAAAAAGTTTGTTGTAGCACAGAAAGCCACTGTTAAAGAAATTTCAAATTAAAGAAGAGTAAGACAGGAATGCATTTAGCCTCCCACGTTGTTCTCATTTGCACATAACCCCTCTTGTGGCCAAAATAAGTAATTTTGAGCATCACCCCTCCTCCCACTCTAAAGTAGCTAATAAGCACATTGTAATCTTATTGCATACAGATGATGTAGTGCAGGGGTCTTCAAACTTGGCCCTTTTATGACTTGTGGACTTCAACTCCCAGAATTCCTCAGCCAGCATGCCTGGCTGAGGAATTCTGGGAGTTGAAGTCCACAAGTCATAAAAGGGCCAAGTTTGAAGAGCCCTGATGTAGTGCTTCAATCACAAGCAGCGGCTGGAGTATCCTAGCCACTTTTTTCCTTAAGAAAGCAGTTGAGATTACAATAAAATGAAGTTCTCAATAAAGATCTTAGCAAAATGACCTAAAATACATGCCCAAAGGTCGGGCAATACAACAGAGCGTGAGTTTTTCTGAGTGCCTTCAAGTACAAAGCAACCAAAACTAGGTTCATGTTGTTAATTGGCTCCAGGAGATGCAACCAGTACTAAAAAGGATGAGTCCCAAACCAACCATGTGACTTACCATGTGAGCCTTATTTCAGCTGGGAAGAACTTTCTGTCTGTCCCTTTTTCTATGTCAGCGATCTTTCCAGCATGGCCGACCTCCTGTCTGCACTCTGTGGTTGTCCCACTCCTTGTGTAGTGACCTTCCCAGCATGGCCAACTTCCTGTCTGCCCTCTGTGGTCATTCCACTCCTTTTGCACAGACCTTCCCAGGATGGCTGACTTCCTGTCCATTTTCTGCAGCTGTCCCCTTCTTCCTATCACAGTGGGCCGAGTACTAAACAAACGGCAAGTAGTGGGACAACATTTTTGCATCAAAATGTGTCACGTTTTGAAGCAGTCAAGTACTGAGGTACCACTGTAATTCAAAATGCTATTCTATTCTATTCTATTCTATTCTATTCTATTCTATTCTATTCTATTCTATTCTATTCTATTCGCATAACATTGCAGCAGAATAAGCTTTCCACTTCATCAGAGGCACACACAGTATTCCAGCAATGCTAAAGCCACATCTGACTAAGGCAGGTATATCACTTCTGAGGATGGGCTATAATCAAGGCCTTACAGGAAGTCCTCGATTTACAACCTCAGCTGGATTCAGAATTTCTAAGAAAGACAGTTGTTACGTGAGCGATGAGCAAATGTTAAACAAATCACTGTCGTTATTAAACGAATCATGCAGTCATTAAGCGAATCCCCCATTGATTTTGCTTGACGGATGTCAGCTGGGAAGGTCAAAAATAGTGATCAGATAATCCTGGGATGCTGTAATTGTTGTAAATGCCTGCTGGTTGCCAAGTGGTCAAATTCTGACCGCATGACTGTGGAGATGCTGCAACAGTTGTAAATGTGAGGACCGCTCGTAAGTCACTTTTTTCAGCGCTGTTGTAACTTCTAACGGTCCCTAAATGAATATTGCAAGGCGAAGATTGCCCGTTAATGCATGCAAGCAGGATGATACTTGGCTAGATACTTGGAAGTCTAATTGGGTCAATCTACCCTACCCCAGATTGTGTTCCTGAATAGCGATGCCCCTTATTTTATGCTGCAAGACACTTAAAGCAAACAGCTTTCCCTGAATTCCAAGGAGCCCTAACATTAGCACTTTTCAATATCCTCCTAACAGCTGTTCTCAAGGGCAAATATTAAAAAAATCCTTTGCCAGCTAAGATTGTGCCCTTGTGAAGAAAGAGCCATTCAACTGCTAGTTCGTTGCTGTGATATTTGTTTTTTTTCTATAAGGACATAAGTGTCCACTTTATGACTTCCTATCTGGCAAGACACTCAGAGAATTCAGATTTATTTTATGTACACTTCCTGTGATGAGATTAGTATAATTCTGTTTTCTTGAATGTGGCTAAGTTCTGTTAAAGCTGGATGTCTTTTTATTGCCTCAGTGACCTAGTTGTAATTTTATATTTGCATTTTATTTGATTTGATATAGCAACTAATTATTTTATTTCATTTTGGATCTTGTAGAATTCTAGCCAGTGATTGTAATAACACCTGCTACTATTTCATTTCTAAGAATTTAGGAATTCAGTACTGATTTGGAATATTTTGTATTAGTGAATCAATGCAAAGAGACTTTAAATTATTAACTGTATTTCTTATGACCTTCAGAGGAGATTGACTGAACGAAAGCCATTTCGTGTCTACAAAATGCACTAGAGAATATTTTTAAAAGGCGGTTTATCAAAGTTATTATGTTGGCCATGTAAACGAGATTAGGGGTCTCGCCCATATAATATTGGCTTGTTCTATTAAGTGTTCCAGGTTGGATGGAAGTCCATAAGTTTGTTACTTTGTTTTTACAATTAAAGGATATTGATATACTTGTGAATCTGGAATTTTTCATTATACAGAGAGACCTATGGATTTTTTAAAGCGTGCGAGATAGCATAAAAATGATGGAAAATTGTAGTCCTGGATCACCACTGAAAGTTTGCTTTCTGGTTTTGGCTAGTGTAAAGATGATAATGAATATTGTCAAGGTTTAATGACTTGCTTAAGTATTAGATTGAAAGATATTTCTGGTGGGGTTTTTTTTAGTTGCTTTAATTTTGCTTTTTTATTTTTTTCTTCTTTTTTCCCATTAACTAAGAAAAGGAAATAAATTTATTCTTTGAAGAAAGAAAGGAATGGTAGGAAAGCTGAATGATAACTAAATTTCAATTTGTATTAAATGCTGGTAGAGGAATTCTGAGAAACATTCTTAAAGATGTCATCACAACCCTCAACTATATCCAACTTTCAAATGAGCTCAGAAACACCAAATGAAATTTGAAGTAGAAAAACAGAAGCCTCTTTTTCAGGGGGAGCACAGATTTTCTGGATAGATTTAGATGACCCTTATGTTTTCAAATGTGTTATGTCAGTTTTAAGTGACTAATATATGGTAGTATATTCCACTAGAAATTATTTTTTAGCCAACA